TTCGATAGTTAGAGCCTATAAAATAACGCGAATAGAACGCGAACGGCGAAGGAACATCTGTGCTCCACTTAAGTGTCAGTTTTTTAGCGAATCCCTTTGATTGATACATTATGTCAGTACACATCTCGATTCAACCCGAACAAGTTGCATTTATTTAGTAACCATCGATCGACGAAACTGCAAAGACTTAGGTACTTTGATATTAATACACAATTGTTATATTTATTTACTGTTTAGCAAGCTTGACCTTTACATTTATCTTTGCATTTACATTGATTACATTACAAAGCTAGTCTCAAGTCAAAATTTTGAAAAGTTTTTAGTTTTTCTTTTAATATTTTGAGAACCGCTGGCTTCTTTTTCAACCGACCTTCTAGGTCTTAAAATAAAAAAACAGAACATAGGAAATTACTTGGTGCAGCCTGTATAGGCGCTATCAAAATTTCTCGGGGGGGCGCACCCTTGCTTAGTTACGCCACTGGCCATAAAACATGTTATAAGTCATAACTTATGACTAATACCAAAAGTATTAAAATATGCAAACAACCAGGTCAAGGTTATTTAAATTTAATTTTCAAGTTCAAGAATTTTACTTTATAGACAATATACAAATCATTTAATTAAATGACCAAACTAAACCAGCTTAAATATGTAAAATAAAAATATGGTTTTGTATAATTATTTCACAAACTATATTAATATTTATAATTATATCTACCAATACTTATTATAATAATTATTATAAAAAATTAAGGCATTGGACTAGATCAAGCCTGACCCAGCTTTCCTCAAACCGAAGGGGCTCATCTGGTACACAAAAGGGTCTCTAATAAATGAAGGTGCAGGAGCTGGTATATATGGCGAGAATAAGCTTTGCACTAGGTCGATACACATGTATACAACAGTATACCAGACTGAGACCTACATATGTCATATGTAGCGACAGTCAAGCAGTACTCTGGACTCTTTCCTCCGAAGGGGTCAACTCAAGACTTACGCTGGACTGCATGAAAATCCTAAAATTACTCAGTGTGCAACAAGGTCACCGGGTCATCGAGGTATTAAAGGAAACGAGGAAGAAGACCGGCTGGCTCGTGAGGGCTCGTAGGGGCCTCCTGTCTGGTGAAAGCCAAGATAAGAAACTGGACTAACCAGTTCCAGAACGAATGGCTAGAACAACAAGGCCTCAGACAGTCAAGGGTCTTTATACAGGGTCCTGAAACTAAACAGGAAGAGCCATCACAGAAGTCCTAACAGGGCACTGGGTAGTGAAAGATAAAGTAGGGCTCCACCAAAAGGGGGTTTGCACAATGGGCGGTATGTGTGCCTACGTGCTGCCTGCAGAGGCTTTCCTTTAAACCAATCAATCAATCATTCAAGACATTGTTATAAATTAAAGATTCCATATGCAATCTGGCAATACTAAAAGTGATTAATTAAATCTATTTAATACATTTAGGGCCAGTATATTTATCTTTCACTTAATTTACTCAACGCTTAATTGTCATAGTTACAATTATGTAAACAGTTGTAACTTTGGCAGTTATCTGTCTAGTAAGTTTAAAGAAAGGTGAATATACTGGCCCCTATGTAATAAAGTTGAATTATAATAGTTTTTTTAAACTTTTTTCCGTATTCCATGCAATGGAGCTACTCACCTTAATTTTGTTATTAGAAGTCACGTGTTCATATATATTTGTTGACTGATTTTTAAAATGTAATATTTTGGACTGACCCCTGTTTGTCAAAATCGGCTTACATTCAAATGTTTTTAACTAAATTTTTAAATTATTGTTTTTGTATGTTTAATCAGTATTACGTTTTTTACGTTTTAAAAATCAACCACGAATTGTTTTTAAACAAGATGGTAAAAACTCTTAAAATAATTATTTTAAAATTAGTCAACTTTCACGTGCACGTGATTTATCATAACAAACTTAAGTGAAATAGCCCCATTGCATGCACAGCAAACGGAAAATTATAGAGGTGTATAGGATGACGCCACGTTTGAATATCGATTTCTAAATCTCCCTACGGTATAGAGTTGTATTCGTCAGTCGAGCGTTTCAATACTCTCCACAGTATAGAGGTCGTAATTTCACTTTTGAACTAGTATTAATATAAAAATTATTTTATGCTTAAAAAAAACTATATACGACATGATTGTGATTTTTTTCATTTTATTAATTAATTAAGCTGTGTTGAATATTTTTCCTAAAGGAATAATTGCCAATGAGCCATTAATTCATTTGTTCGTAGATGCTACAATAACCTGCACTGGTGTGTACTTTTTCATCAACCAGATTTAAATATTACAAAATTAACATATACCAGTGGAGATAGTGCAGGGTCTACCAACAGACCTAATTACTAAATTATTAAAGTTTAATAGCATATCGATCATTTTTCAACATAACCTCTTAAATTTTTAATACAAATATAGGTACTTTATATAATACATAAATATACTTAACATCATATCCTCTGTGCTTTACATACCTGAGTTGTTACGGTAAATAAAAATCAGACAAAGGAACCAAAGAAAGGAACTATTTTCAACAAAATCATATGGAGAAATGAGAAAATTCATCCATCAAAAGATCAAAACTTCTTGCAATATTACACCCTCTTTTTATACTCTCAGAAATATTGACTAGAACAGTATTAGAGAGACTCCAGTTTCTATAACTTGGTAGAGTAAAGAGAAGTCGAAACCGTTGCGATATTGCATTGCGCTGTTTTTGTATAATTCTCGGGGACATTAACGAAAATCATTGCCAGTAAAATTTGAAAAGCTTGAGTTTCTATGTCTCTGAGGAGAATAGGAATCCGAAGTTGCTGCACCATTGGACTGAACCCTTTTTTAATAATTTCTAGATACATATATGACTGCACCATTCGACAGGGTCGAGTTTCTACTCCTCTGTTGAATATAGAAAATCAAAATAATGTATCTTGTAAGACACCATTGAGTTTGACTTTAAATATAGTCGTGCATAGGTATAGAGCCGAAAAATATAAAAACAAAGCACGATTCAATACAGTTATGATAAAACTTTAAGATTTGATATTCAAACGCGGAGTCATCTTATACACTTCTATAATTTTTCGTTTGCTGTGTGGTATATAGATATTTCGACTTGCACAGTGTAATAATAATTATAGATATTATATTATCATCAGTAATACCTGTACCGATACAAGATAATACATCTGTCATTTATATTTTAAATTTCTACGAAATAGTACCTAGTTTTATTTGTACTTCGATGATCTGATTATAAATAAAAATACTATTGAGAATAAAAATTGGGTTTTCATTGAAAAACCGAGATAACGCGACGAAGTTGACTATTTCCCTCGTCTTAATTCCCACCAATCACAAACGCGCAATTTTGAATTACAAATGCTTTCTAGGTGGAAAAACTGTATGACAGCACCTGTCAGCAGTTTTTTCGAGTTTACCCGCGGCAAAACTTGACAGCGTGGTCACCAAAAATTGCAATTTATATTTTAATTGTTAACTGTTACACATGAAATAGTCTTGTTAAATACCATTCGGGCATCTAATTTTTCCTGTGTAAAAAATCGAAAAAACACAATGCTAAGTAATATTTTTTAACAAAATGCATTCTTGCAGGTGCAAAAATCCTCGTCTTCAACTCGGATTTTTGTTGCATCCAGCAACGTGTTTTTTGATTTTTTTTCGAAAAAATTAGATGCCCTTACGATATTTTAGCCAGGGAGGCGCAAGAGTATATGAATTGTAGTTTAAATAAATACAATTTGTAGTGTCCGATCAAAGCTTCGGCGTTGAAAAAAAAAGCCACCTTTAGCCAATCATTCGGCTTCGGCTAAAATTAATATTTAACAGACTGTAAATCCCCAAGTCCGTTTATGGATTTTTCCGTCCAATTTTGTCCGTTTACCGGAAATCAAAATTTGGTAAAAAAAATTGCTTAAAGACTGTCAAATTTTGATCTTTAAAAATACGTCGAAACGGTTAAAAACTTTTTAAAAAGGGAATTGTAGACCAAAAAACAAAAATTGAAGGGGAAGGTAAAGGTTTAACGTACTAAACATAATCATCATGGAATTAAAATAAAACAGCCGGTCAATTTTTTTTTGTAATTAAACAAATATCTAATCGGTTTAAATATGTTTAATTAAATAAAAAATATTTTCTTGTTCTTCTGCGATTTATTAAAAAAAACTCCCAAATCGTAACTGCTAGGAATTTGTGACCTGGCATTTAATTACATTGTTTTGATTCTTCAGAGGGACAGCTGTCCCACCTGCCCCCCTTTGGCGATGCCAATGAAACTGTTTGAGTTAGAGGAGTTCAACTTATAGGGTATAATTATGTCAAAGTTAAGATTCCTTGCATGAAAAAATAAAACTTTTTTGTCCCTTTATGTTTTTTTTGTATCTCGCTTCGTTCTGGAGAAAAACAAATTTTTCTTCACACAGAATTTTATATAGAATTTATAATAATTTAACTTCTAACTGTATAAACACAGATTTTTAATTTTGCTTTTTCAAAATCAAGATAAAAATAAATAAACTTCATTGTCGGAAATTTTCTTTGCAGTCTCTGCTATTTCCTGCCTTTTTTGCCATTCTTCGCCTTTTGTTTACATTGCTGTTTCTCTGACATTCTCTTTCACTTCTTTTTGGCAGAGAAACGGCAGAGAAAACTGCGCAAATTTTATTTTAGTGAAAATTTGGTTCGTTTACCTCGTTTAAAAGGTTTGCTTTTACTCTTGGTAAAAAAATCAATTTTAATAAATTATAAATAAATATAAAACCACAGTGAAAACCGATTATCTCTAGACATGATAAAACTATTTCATAACAAAAAGTTTAAATTGACCGGTCAAATTGTTCTTTCCATAGACATATATGCAGGTAACACAATAAAAAATAAAAACACCGTTCAAAAAATATGTTAACGACAAAAACAAGTTGTCAAAAGAAATTTAAGTGTACTTGAAACTCACCGATCTCGTCCATTTGACAATCGGTTCCGGATGACCCATATAGGTGGCCTTGAGCAGCACTCTGTCGCCCACTAAGGCCGTCGTGTCCTGCGGGCCTCTAATAACCTGGGCCGGTTCGTCGATCCTCCGCATGAAAACTTCACTCGCATCGGGCTTATCACCACTTAAGACCTCCATGGAGGCTTCACTCTCACTGCCACCGAGCACAGAATCAACGTCAAGCGCGCCTTCGCTGTCGTACGCTACACCAAGACAATCGACCACCGTCAGCTCCGTCGTGCAACTGATGGAAGATCTGGTACCGCTTCTTCCAGCGCCTCGAGACTGCTGCTGCTGCTGCTGTTGTTGTTGCTGTTGCTGTTCGACCGGAGATGCCGTACACTTCACTTGCCCGCTGTCTTGACGACTCACGCCGAAAATGTGCAGAATGCTGACGTCACCGTCCTCTTCCACCTAGAATCAATTGTTATTATTCATTTTTAACGCAATATAGATAACGCATACCAGACATTCTTGTTTTGTAATCCCAATTGCGTTAAATAAATAGTATGATATTTTTTCACTATTTATATGATTGATTTGTTTTTAGTTTAACTTTACTAAATAATTAAGAGTCCCTTTAAAGGGACCGTAATAGGTACTACCTATTAGGTAGCCGGTGAAAAATGAAACAAAAGATATGCATATATTTAATAACATGTTATTATGGCGGATATCCTAACAAATAATAAAAACAAATATGGTGGTTGAAACCCTAGGCTAGGTACCTATTACCTATTTAGGTGCTCGAGTCCGACTGGCACTTGGCCGATTTTTTCATAACCATTTTTGTTTATTTATTTTATGAATTATTAAAATATGTTCGTATATAATTCTGAACGCTTCGCTTTACAACAGCGAAAAAAATAGTTTCGCAATACTGGTTTTTAAAATAGGGCCTTGATAGTTAAAACTATCAAGACACTATCAATTTATAACCAAACTTAATTGATCCGAATTATACAGGTTTTGGACAACTAAGTATTTAACTCTTCAGTGTAAATAATTTTTTGTGCAGAATGCTGACGTCACCGTCCTCTTCCAACTAGAATCATTTGTTATTAATAGCTGGCCATACACAGACGTTATTTCGCGCGGTTTATCGTGGCGTGTTGGGATGTAGCGGTTAGTATGCACGAAAGAACGGCATGGCAAAAAAAGCGTCATGTTCCATACACTTGATAAAGTATTCAAATGATTTAGCAAGTGATTGCCCGTGGTATATCAGTTTCAAAGGAAAAATCGTATGTTTGAAACTGCATGTGATCATGTACAAATTTTCAACGTGAAATTTTGCCAAGCAAAGGTAAACCGTGACGCGGAATGTGGCGTGTGGACACGCCACACTCCAGAGAAAAGCACGTCTGAAATCCCTTCCCGTTCTATCATTGCGCGCGGCGATACTCACTCACGTACATGATTTTCCATATGCTTTTGCAGATAACACGATAAACCGCGCGCAATAACGTCTGTGTATGGCCAGCTAATAGCTGGCCATACACAGACATTATTGCGCGCGGTTTATCGTGTTATCTGCAAAAGCATATGGAAAATCATGTACGTGAGTGAGTATCGCCGCGCGCAATGATAGAACGGGACGTGCTTTTCTCTGGAGTGTGGCGTACATCATTTCAGTGTCCACACGCCACGTTCCGCGTCACGGTTTACCTTTGCTTGGCAAAATTTCACGTTGAAAATTTGTACATGATCACATGCAGTTTCAAACGACTCGATAAATTACACTTTTTGCCCACTCACATACTATTTTTCCTTTGAAACTGATATACCACAGGCAATCAGTTGCTAAATCATTTGAATACTTTATCAAGTGTATGGAACATGACGCTTTTTTTGCCATGCCGTTCTTTCGTGCATACTAACCGCTACATCCCAACACGCCACGATAAACCGCGCGAAATAACGCCTGTGTATGGCCAGCTATTCATTTTTAACGCAATATACATAACGCATACCAGACATTCTTGTTTTGTAATCCCATATTTTTATGATTGTTTTGTTTTTAGTTTAACTTTACTAAATAATTAAGAGTCCCTGTGATATTTAAAACATTCAAGACACTATCAATTTATAACCAAACTTAATTGATCCGAATTATACAGGGTTTTGGACAACTTAGTATTTAACTCTTCAGTGTAAATAATTTTTTAATAATACTTTTTAAAATCAAAATATCTAATTATTGTTTTTATTTATTTTTGATTTTGGGAATTTCACCTATTTTTATTATTATTCTGATAGCAATTGAATCGGTGGGGATAAGAACAGTACAAGTCCAAAATTTGACATTTTCATTTAAAATAGCGTTTGTTTTGAAATCCAAGGAGTAGTGGAACTGTTCCACTGGAACATTTTTAAAACCAGCTTGTTAAGGTGTTTGTCAGAGCTAACTGTGGAGCATTGAGAATAAGAACAGTGCAAGTCCTGAACTTATACTGTTGTTATTCCCAACTAATGCCGTTGTTGATTATGGGCATCATACTATCATGATGGTCATAGATATAGTAAAAGTTTAAGGTGGTCATGCTTATGAAAGCTGACAATTGGTATTTTATGCTGTTTGAGTGTAAAATACAACAATCTCATCTGATAGCAGCGAAAATGACACAAGACAGAGTAAGAAACGTAGCAAAAATCCAGAACGATGAAAAATTTTCTATATCTGGGAAAGTTTTGGAAGAAAAAAGAACTGGACCACCAAAAAAATAATAACTTAAAAATATAATGAAGTACATCAAGGGAGAAGACCTAGACCTAGACTACGTAACATCCTGGCCAACCACTAATACGGACAATAATGCCGGTATCCAAAACTGATTATTTAATATTTTTGTTCAATAAAAATGTCTATTTTGTTCATTAAATTTTTTTATTTTATTCAATAAAAATGCTTATTTTGTTCAATAAAAATGCTTTACCACATCGTGATGTTTTATTTTTTAAATTCTAAAACAAATGATATCATCGACTACGTTTTAATTATTTGTTTATTTGTTTATTTGTTTATTTGTTTATTTGTTTATTTATTTATTTATTTATTTATTTATTGAATATAACGCTATATTATAGTTTAACAAAACAGTTTTATAACTGGTAGGTACTGTCAAAACCATATTAATTTTAGTACTTCTTCTTAATGGTTCATAAATCCTATTATTTTATTTTTAATAATGATTTTTACATACCCATTTTAAAAAACTTTGCTTTAAGGAACTTACATTTATATTTTTTTATACAGATTTTTTTTAAACGTTTTTACGTTACTGTGATGTTCTTTCCTTTATAATAATGATTGTATATGACTTGTAAGTTTATTTTATGTATTGTCATTTCTATCTCTAAGTTAATATTTCTTGTAGAAACCCTAAAGATGCCTTACAGGCGCTTAAGGTTCAAGGCATAATATAAACTGGGCGTCAAAATTAACGCATAATAAGTAAAAAAATTCCAACTCTTAAACGCATTTACCAATCTTTATGAAATCTCAGTTTACGTGTTTAAGGGGTTTTCAAGAAGGGAATTTGTACAAATCAAACGAACAGTAACAAGATACAGCGATTTAAAGTCGGTAAAAATGACCCCTTTAGGATTATTTTGCTGAAAAGTTATCATTTTTTGACGATTTTGAAGCGCTATATTTTCGTTACTGTTCGTTTGATTTGTACAACATTTTCAGGGTATACTTACTTAAATACGTTTTTTATTATTAGATAAAAGGGCTTTAAGAATGTTTTCTCGAAAAACGCTTGAACACGTAAACTGAGATATAATTTGAGAAGGTGCATTCCAAAACTCGGCTTATCCATATTAGTGGTTTTTGAGCAAAATGTTAAAATCCTTACACGTGAGTACTAACGCATATCAGGCAAATACAATACTTTAAACGAAATATATAGGCATAAGTAAAACATTTATATACCTTGATTAAGAAGGTAATAACTCCAGTTTAAAATAATTTAAAAGAACATACGTATATGCCGAGTTCTGCATGATATAACCAATAGATAAGGCAAGTTTTGGAACGATAGTAAATTTGTAAATGAATTTTAAATGGAATAAGGTGAGTTAAGAACTTTTCAGGGTATAGGGAGATACATGTTAAATGTACAGACACCACTAACTCATTATTATTAAAAAGTGGATAAGCCGAGTTTTGGAATGGACCTCCTCATTTAAAGTATTTTTATACAAAATTTTATAAAGATTGGTAAAGTCGTTTTAGAGTTTGATTTTTTTTACTTGTTATGCCTTAATTTTGACGCGCAGTGTACATTTTGTGACAAATAAAATTGTCTTTCTTTAATTTAATGACATGAAAAAGCATACAATTTGCTACAATAATTATCTACAGAATGAGTTGTCTTAAGCCAAAACTCCAAAAACCCGTATGCATACACATGTGTCGAAATACAAAAAATGAGGTCAATGCTTAGGTCCATTAGGCTTATAACATAACTTTAAACAAAATCGGACAACTTTGCTTCATATTTTTTTAATACCTACACGAAATAGTTTTATAACCCACACGGAAAGAAATGGATAGTCGAAAATTTATAGTACACTATTTTTATTAATAGTCACTATAAATTATATTAAAAACAACATACCAAGTTATTAGCACTGACTATAAAAATATTTTAAAATAGAATTGTAACTTTAAATATAATTTTTAGTAAGTAATACACCACAAATATAGTAACATATTCAATTAACTATATTTTATACCATCTTTAACTAAAATAAATTTAGTTACACCAGATTTTAAATTATGGTTGTAATAAATATACGAGATATTGCTTATTACTATAATTATAGTAAAATTAACTCCCTTGGATAGTCAACCACCATGAGTCAACTTTAAACTTGTCTAGTGACGAGCCGATCCTTCATTTGCATTGCATAGCAACAGTGGCAGTGGTAAGAGTAGGTTGTTATTTTGTGGTGCATCGTATTATTTAAATATGTTACAATTTTGGTTTAATTTCAAGTATTTTAAGAAGGGAAGTAAATAAATTTATTTATAGATTATGTAAAAATTCATTTACTTACAAAGTTATGAATATGTGATTCTAAATAGTGTTGGGATACGAAGAACTAACACTTTGACTCGTAAGATCGTTTATTGTAAATAAGTTTTACATAATAATTAAATGAATAATAAATATTCGAGAAGTTAAATCTTAAGTTAAGTGAGTGAAAAGTAAATAGTAAGTGTTCTTTTGGTTTCTAAAAATGAGCTTTTATACAGCGCGATAATTTTTATCAGTTAATGGAAAAATAGAAGCGCTGTCTTTGAAATTATGAAATATCTAATGATGCGTAATAATTACTTGAACTATTTGAACTTTTTATTAATTTAATTTATGGACTTATTTTTTGTAACCCTAAAGATCACG